AAACCAAAAAGACCGATACATTTCACTTATTCGTATTTCCGTCACGATGTGCCGGTGGTATTGACGTTGTCGCTCACCCATCCGCTACCTTTCACGTTGTCTCATAGATAAATCACCTCGTTTGGCAATTCTTCGTCACCATCCTTAACGTGGAGAAAAAGTCACATTGATAAAATTCTACTCACCGACCTATGAAGCAGATGAGAACGATCTAGATGCGCTAGAATGAGCTGGAGGAAATAAGCCGAAATGAAAAATCCTATGAAATTGTTATTGGGGACTTTATTGCTATATCAAGCAGGACCAACGAAAATGAATGAGGATCGGAAAATTTGAAATGGGAACTCAAAAAGAAAACGGTAACCGTCTTGAAGGGCGTCTGACCAAGTAGGTCTCTTCCATGAGAAACCGTGTTCGAGAAGAGACACTTCATGAAAGCCCTATAGCGCCACCATTCCATCTCGAATCTGATTACTGTCGTCTTTTCAAAACTCGATTGGGCCATAAAGTGGAGAGCAATCTTGTCATCGCCGAAGAGTGAGAAAAGGAATATGTATGACAAAAAAATTGTCAACGAAATCCTCTGTTCATCTAGATCAAGGAAGATCACATCGAAGACTACGAGGTGCTTGTCGCAGGACGGCGGGCGTTTAAATTACGTCGGACTCGCCTCAGTTTCTCAAACATGTTAGGAAAGACCGCATCTCCATCACCATTGAGGAGTTGCTCGAAAACAGAAGTGGGAATTGTTAGTACTACAACACATCTGAGACGACTAGTAGTAAATACGAGCTGTAACCCGCTTATGCAGGTGGCAAAATATAGGAAGAGGAAATTATTGGAAGCAGCTCAAAATGTTGTGGCGTTGAGCTCACAACTTTATATGAATACCAAGTCGTTCGGAATATTAGTGATTGTAGCTGCCACGCGGGTCTTTTGTGTGTAGGTCGCTGAGTCGAACGCATTGAGACACTGGGTTACAACTTTTATGATTATAGTAGCAATAACAACAATAACAGCAGAGCGAACTATATGGATGAGATGAACGAACTGGATAAACATTGGAAGAACACTACGGACACTCGAAGGCGAATGCAGATGGCTGCTTGTATCAGCGCCTAGAGAGGTTCTAAAGGTTTTTTCTACTAGCACAACCTGATAGAGCTACATGTGAAAGCTCTCAGCAGCTCGTTCGGAAACTTCATTCGAACGGCAGATGCTGGAAAGTACATTCAGCTGACTGCTTCTGATTCAGTGCGCGAACTATCGGACAAAGAAGGGCAGTTTAATGAAAGAAGTTGTGGAATCCCTTTGCAGCCACTTGCGAGGCAACTGCATGAGATAGTGGCTAAGAGGCAATTAAGAGAAAATGATAGAATTAAGATAGTTACAGGTGAACAAAAAACATACACTAATATAGAAAAAAGGAACTACTTGATGAATAGTTCCCATACAAAAAAGAAACAGTTCGAAGAAGAGTAGCTGGGATCTTCACGCCTATAATGTTGCGCTGTCCGCGTTGAGGAACGAATTTGGAACTATCACTACATACTGCCGTGATATGGAATTACTAAAGGATTAGTTCTATACCAGACTTTTCCTTTCCATCCGCCACCACGAATTCTAGGCTTGGAAAACCGCCGGGATTTTTCCCCGTGAAGTTTCGCTTGCCATAGCGTGAAGAGAGGCACAATTCCAGTTAAACTAAGGAATAGACCAATTTTCTCTGAGCTATACACTATAAACTGCATTTTCACAGCACATACTATAAAAAAAATGCCCCAAACCAGTTGAGGACTTCGCGCATGGAGACCTTCCTAGCCAATTTCTTGAAGGCATTCTGCCAGCTGTTCACCAACATTATTCTAGAGTGGATTTCAAGGATTTTTTATGAGTTTTTCTTCGGACAACCAGTTGCAGACGTGCAGAATGCCGGTAAGAACTTTGATACACTAACTACATCAAAATTGTGTTCGTCGCGATAGAAGTCTATCTCTAACTCCACTTACCAACTAACATTTGTCGAATAGAAAAAGCGTTTGACAGCTCCAAAATAAAAACAAAATCTATCAACACTTGTCGAAGAAGGTGGGGATCACTTCTACGTTTCATGCATAAGAGCTTTAGCTGACTGCTATCGCATCCCCACTGCGGAAATGCAGCATTTCTAGGTCACTCAACTGGGACGAAAACGAAATATGTACCATCATATCCTGCCCTGTTGATGGCCGAGTGTGTCGAGCGGGCCTGAGTAAACCATCCATTTCTCCCCGTTACATGCAAAAGGAGCCCAGTGGGTTCTCGCTCTAGAGACTCTATGAGCATTATATCTATTTTCTAGGGTTTCCGCGAAGAATTTTGACCATCGGATCAGTGGCCTTCCTGGTGCGCGTTTAACATCTCAAAGAATACAGTCTCAAAAGTCAAAAATCTTTTCATCGAGTGTCGTTCATACGCTTTACACATCCAGCCCACTTTATCCTCGGCAATTTTGAGTATAGAACGGCCTGTTTGAACCTTGATCGTTGACGTAGGTCGGAGCTTGGGATCCTCTTTGTTAATTGCGCAATAAGAGTACTCCTAGCCTGTTCCTTTCGATTGCGGGTTCCATAACGTTAAGTGATCCTCCATCATACCTACATAGCGGCCAGATTTCTGACATTTAGGTTAAGGCAAGAAGAATCTTGGAGTCAGAAAGGTGAACATGGAAGTGAGCGTTCTCTGTTTTCCTCACTACTTCCTTGACTCTTGTGAAAGTTCCCCAAGCCGCCCGGTTTCTTCCGCTCAACTCTCGAGTTAAATCGTTCAGCTTATCGACTTGGAGAACTACATAGAAGTAGTTAGAGCATTCCGAGAAATTCATTCCGTTGAGCATAAATAAGGAATACGTAACCAATCCGTCCTTCACAAACATCGTTTTTGTTCTAAGATTTAACCGGAGACCACTCTTACCACAAGCCTTATCAAACTCGGCTAGCGTTCGTTCCGCCTGGCTAGCACTTGTTGTTACAAAAAACCATGACATCAGGAAAACCGATGGTGTAATTGCCGACCATTTTTCTTCGCTTCCATGTTGTTCCATTTCAATACTAGCATAAAGTTCTCGAAAGTGGCGGCAAATAATTTTGGTTAGATGGCATCGCCCTGCCTAACCCATCTTTTGACGTCGATGTTAAATCGTTGTAGAATGGTGATATATTGGTTGTGAAATTTTTAAACAGCTTGAGAAGAATCCTTATGTACGAGCAGAGATTCCCTGACTGTCCAGATCTTTCATGATTTCTTCTAGCCCAACTGAGTCAAAAGCCTTCTCTAAATCAATGAAAATGAGGTAAAGCAGTCTTCTGTATCTTCGCGACCCTTTAATGAGCCTTGTTATCGCGTGGGCATGGTCCAACATGCTAAACCCTTTTCGAAACCCTCTTTGCTCACATGCCTGTCGTTCGTCCAGTATTCTGTCAACAATATTTAGGATGACTCGAGTGAAAAGTTTGTAGACGACAGACAGCAAGCAGATTGGTCGATAGTTGCCGATATCGTGCAGGTCACCCTTCTCGAACAACAGCACGGTCTTGCTGGTCTTCCAATGAGTAGATTAAACAGACAGTCAGAGTATATAAAATTTACACGAGGAAAACCAACTTCCATTCTTAAACATACAAATAAAGCTCTCAGTAAGTGGCTATGTAACAAAATGGTATCGCAAGCCAAGTAGTAAAAACATTCTAGTCCACTGCCTCTCCTCTCATCCTTCACACATGAAAAAAGCACTTATCAAAAATATGTATCGTACGGCTAAAAATATGTGTTCAGGAGAAGAGGAAAGGAAGGAATCGCAAAACCTGGCACGAAAAATTACCCTTTCCAATGGCTACGGAGTAGAAGCCACTCGGGTTAGAGGAGAACGTTGGGTAGTTTCCCAAAATAATATTTCAGACGAAAGTAGAATCCCCTTTAAGCTACCCTTCATATCAAATGAAATAAGTCACGCCATTAAAAAGTGCTTAAGAAAAAGTGGCCTTGAAAATTATGTAACGATTATTGACATCCCACACAATACCCTACGGCGCCAGTTAGTTCGAAACCGTCTCTATGATCGTTTGTGCCGCTCAGAAAACTGTTTGATCTGTCCTAACGGGAGAGACGGGGATTGCATGAGTTTAGGTATAATATACTTGATCTCATGTAATGCATGCGGCGAGGAATATATCGGGGAAACGGGTAGACCACTTTGTGTCCGCATAGAAGAACATTTAGATGGAAAATCTAAGATCCGTTTAAACACCCCTCTAGGTATGCATAGGGCACAAAAGCACAACGGCGATGATTTTGAAGTGAATGTGCGGATCCTAGAGCAGGAATCAAAAACATCAACGCGCAAAACTCTTGAGGCCTTTTGGATAAATTTCAAAAATCCAAAGATGAACCGGAAGGACGAGTGCCTCACGTGACCTGGCGCCCTATTTCAAAATGATATTTTGACCCCGGGGCGTGTCTTGCTCGCGACTCCACGTGAACTACGTGTGGGCCAGTCCTGAATGTAACATCACGGTGAGTGGCCTTTCCGTTCAATATGGCGTCTATTTGAAAGTTTGATCTTCATTAACACTTTAACCCTTCTTTTCCACCGAATAATAAAAACATCCTAATATTAAATACGTCCAGGCTTTGAGGAAGGCGAAGTCGCCGAAACTTCAGCGCCATCGATCAATAACATCAAAAATAACGACAACGACAATAAAGACATTTTACAGTTGAACTGAAATTGTAAAGATATATGAACATTATATACAAAACATCTACTTCAAAACGTAGCAAAAGAATTATAAAGCCTAAGTTCCCAGCAATTCCACATCGAGGAAATTTCTTACACCTGAGGAATGGGAAAGCAATACGTGAAATAACCGTATAGTATAACACTCGTATTTAACGGTAGACGTTCATACGACTGCCAAAACATGGCCGCAAGGAAATTACAAGGAATCCGACTTGCAGGTATCCTAGTAAACTTCGCTGGTATTGCCATCATCGGAATCCAATTGACCCTTAAAACATATATAATAAAAAATAGAACGAATAAATGAACTAATTTATCAAATAGTATGTTATCGCCAGTAATTGCGTAGATATCTAGATTGCGACAACAGCAAAATATCGCTAGGAACCACTTTTACACATGGCAGAAGGAGTTCTACTAGTAGCTTCATGATGAGCATAAAAATAGCAAAATAAAGAAATAAAGGCGACCTATTATGATAAAACTAAACATTGAACCACTTCATATCCAAAAAATATTATCCATTATCACAGAATTTCCTGACGTATCATATGAGGAATAACGTGCCGGTTAGTCGGGAGATTATTCATGCGACGAGTCTTCAATTAGCGTACGAAAGTATTCCCTAATCGAAAGTTACCTTGTACATACCTTAAGAGTCAAAGCGGATAAAGTGGATGGACTTCCGATCTCTGCGGTGCCGTGACTGACATTACTTTCCACATATGTATATATTTATGCGCGAATGTAAAATAAACTCTAAGGGAATGGACGCGGCTCCAAACAAGTAATCGTGTTTTCTACTCTGATAAGGTTCAACAACTTGAGCGTTAATGTATTCTATTCATACGCCCAGAGGCCACCTATACCCATGGATATCTATCAACAAAAACAAATGGAGAAGCTCCTTCTGCGAATCTTCCGAATGAGCTTTCAATACGCTAACGTTCGGGAGAAAAAGTTGATAGAGGCTTCTAAGCGTCTTTGAGTTAGAATTTGGAAAGACCGTGGTAAGTGTACTCACAACACACATACACAAACTTCCACTGACAACCTGATCAAACAAGCAATAATGAAGTGTTGTCAGAACGACCAAGACAAAAAGACACCGCACACTAAACGCCGTTCACAAGAGAAAGGTGTCAGTAGCTATTACGGAAAAATCCGCAATACATCGCTTAAAGCCTTACAATCTTAAAAAAATGTATAATTTTCAATATTAACATGAACCATTTACTAATATTTGTTATAACGCAAAGAAGCTGAGCCTCTAGATCTGCTTGACAAATTGTTAAACTACGCCAGAGGAGAATATTAAAGACTTTTGAATTTATGTAGAAATATAACCTAGAATGAAAGGGAAGAAGGTTATAAACATAATCTCGTTATAATGCTAATCAACAAATGAAAGAACATAGGAAAAAGTCTTTGTAAAAAATCATGGAAATCCAGACATAAATTAACCTATATGGAATGAAGCAAGATCAAATAAGTAGCAAAAACTAAACAGCTGAAGGAAATCAAATCAAACCTCAACAGCATCTTCTCCAAGATCAGATTCCGAACAAGTTGAAAAATTTTGCTCGTCGCCGGAATACACTATTTCTTCCCCCTAGAATAACCATATAGAAATTGGATTAATCTGATGAAACAAACAAGTAATGATGAAGCAAAAGAATTCTCACATTTATATCACGTGGCTTTAACAAACCAATTTCAAATGCATCTTGGCAATTGATATCAACGAATTTTGACTGAATGGCGCGCATCCACTGTTCATTGGTAACACGGAAATTCGGAACAAGTTTCAGAAGCACATTCGAGCGGTTCGCCTGAAAGACAACATGTTATTTTGAAAGAAGAGAATTGCACAGGTTGTAGATTAAAGACAAGAAACAAAGAACAACTAGAATCGCACCTTAGCATGTACACAGATATTCTGAAAGTTTCTATTTCCAATTTGAACGGATTTGATGATTTCCACGACTTGCTCGGTTATACCAGCCAGTCGACCTTTCTCTTCTAACAAATACATGAACGAGCTACTGAAATCAAATTCTTTTCTTGACGACATTAAAATTTGAAATGAAACTTGTATAACTACTATGCCGAAATATGAGCAAAACTCGGAGCCCCACGTGAGCTTCGAACTCGTGACTACCCTTGCGGAGCTCATGTGCTATTCACTACACCAACCAATGTCCTTGATTTGCCTTTCTCTCAGCCAGTTTTTTTTTTCGCTTTATCGACGCAAATCAGCAGTTAATCGTCAACAAGTGTTATCTAGATATCACAAATCCGCAATGAACCCAGTTAAGCTGAAGCTGCATTCGAAATCATAACGCCTTAACCTTCCTTCACTGCCTATTCTTTCATTATTGAAGATTTCATCAATTACAAAATCAAGATGACCATATGGTTTAAAAAGCCAGCTAGAAATAGCTGTGAACTCTTCAAATCCTTTAAAAAAAATGAAAATGTCAAATTACAGATAAAAATTGAATTTTTCTTTCATACGACCCGTCTTTAAACACGTTATTCTGATTGTAGCACATTCCCTCACTTGTATTTTCTCCTCGCATTCATATTCCAGGAGAAGCCTCAGATTGTACAGGTGTTTTCAGCCGCTGTATGAATATTTTTAACCTTCTTTATGAACGTCATTGAATGCTGGTCGAATGAATTCTCCTCGAACATGGGATCGATGCAGCAGGCTGTTCTTGGACCTTCATCATGGACAATCACCAGCATTTGTGTATAGGGGGAATGAGCTGATCTCATACATATCTGGTACTAATTTCCCAATGCTGGGGGAGGAAAGCCCGATTAGCCCCGACAGGATTAGACTACGCTTCTGTGCACATCAGACAGCACCACTACCACTGCAAATTCTGAGAGATTTTCGGGAAAAACCAACTTCCTGTTGCACATCAAAGCGAGGAATCGTCGTCCTTCTTTGATAGCCGATACCAGCAGCGATATGTTCCGTAGTTGTTTCACACGCAACATTAACCCAAAGAGAGCCACACAACCGGCAGCAATGGACCACGTGCGCAAACACTGGAAAACGTATGATTACAGAACAGTAACAAGAAATGAAGGCGAAGAGAAGAATATGCTGAAATCCTTTCTCAACAAGACAAAAACATGCGCACACTGACTCGATTTCTATCTATCTATCTATCTACCTTTTTTTACCTATACATATATATGTATGTATATGTGTATATATATGTATACATATATATGTATGTGTGCACATATATATGGAGTATATACAACCCCAACGCTAGCAGATCGGCTAACTACTCGCAGATATTAATTGGTAAAAACAATAAGATGAATGGACCACATTACCATGACTCCATGAAAGCCGATTCGGTTTAGGACTAGTACGGTAAAGCCTGCTAAAACCTCAAGGCAACTTAAGCCATCTAAATCAGGAGGGAGTAAAGAGATTACGTGAACTTATAACAAACACAAGCTAGCACTTGAATCCGTCGTTAAGGATCTCACGATGCACGATAGGATACCACCATCATTGGAGCGGCAGTGACCAGAAAACACCGCGCACCGCCGTATATGACTATGGAGATCAATGGAGAAGAACTGTTTCTCGCGACATACAACAATAATGCGCTGCTGGCTGTTTCGTGTGAGTTTATCGTAACCAAAATAACTCATGGTAGCTCACAAATGCGGAAGCCCCATCAAATTATGAAGAAAATTTCGCAAAAATACGTAAAAACACAGAACTTTAGCAGCAGGTTAGATCAATCATAATGAATAAAGTGGATTGCTATGATGACCTGATAAGTCTTTAAACGTCATTTTAAAAAAGCAATTAAAGAACAGTCGGTTCTTCATGAAAGTATGCCCATATGGAAAATCTTAGACAAAAACAGGAAGGATAAACATAGCACTGGAAAGATTCGCTATTAAGCTAAGCCTTTGAGCAACAAGAAAAACACTATGATGACCTCATAAGTCTTTAAACGTCATTTAAGTGTTGAGAACAGAATGGATGATCACAACACCAACTTTTTATTTGGTGCCTGCTACAATTTTTCACAGCAGGATAGAGAATAGATGATCGATTTTCATACCTCCTCCACCGCAGTTCTTCTCTGGCCACTTACTGGAACGACATCTACTACCAGCGCATTATTCATGCCGACGAACAATACTTTATATATCGTAGCAAATGTTCCTCTTGAAAAAAAAACAGTTCCGAATAACTTTAAGCTTTGAGTTCGAATAATATACTACTATCAGCTCTTGCCATGTAAACCTAAATGGAGAGGAAACAAAACATCCACAATACCGAGTAAAACAAGCGAAGATTTGATTTGTATCCCGCTCATTAAGATCTGGATCATCCGATTCTTGCTCGTAAACCTTACTTTTCCGCCTTTCATCATGTGGCACCTAAAATTTTTAGCGAAGCACCATTGTAGCATATAGAACGCAAAAAAAATAATTTTGATAGGGAAACATACTATTAATACGGACCCGATCTAATTCATTTTAAACAGTACTAGTTTTTCGGCCTCTATCTTGCCCGTAATTTTCCGACACCTTCCAACGTTTTACCGTCTCCTCGTGGCTGGTAGGTGTTCCTAGGTGTCACGCTCCAATGTACGGCTAAAGGATTCATCTCTCCAGCAGAGTTTTTCAGGTTGAGAACGAGTCCGGGCGTTCCCATCAGAAAACCCGGTTCAGAGTAAACCAAAACCAGGATCCACCACTGTCCTGGCATCAAACTAGTCGCATGATGGCAAATTTCTCTCTTACCCACAAGGGTGACGACCTGTGACTGACTTTGGCCTGGCTGACCTCGAGACTCCAGGGAACCATGATGGATAAACCAGCAAAACTCCGATAAAATGTAAACTGTGCTCAGGCCTGCACAACCAGTGAAGACGGGCCACCCATGTATCCAAGCAATTTTGCGACGACTTGGGTATTTTCGGGATTAAAAATCTAATCGAAAACGAAAAACTTTTCTATCGCTCTAAGGGTAAACATAGCTTTTCTAAAATGCCGTCTTAACTCTTAAGTCGTTCGAATTAAAGTTTCCAGAGAGAAAAGAATACATCAAATATATATTGAGACAAATATCCCATTGTGTTGGGCGAATTCCTGCTTGTTTAGTCATTTCGGTGTTTGAAATATTAGATTCAACGAAGAAAGAGGAGCATATTTTAGATCCACTGAATAGGAATTTCATCACAATAGTATAAGAAAACGTGCACTTTCTTGGAGAAGATGTACACTTTCCATTAGTTTTCAATCCAATTAAGCTCAATATGAGAAGAGAAAAGTTGTAGGAGTTTGGTCAATTGAACAAAGGATACACCATGCATTCAACTTCATTACACATCGTAGATGTGACTGAATTATCCTAAATAGTGAATTGCCAGAGCTTACCCACGTACAAACTGCGTGTTTTTTATGCTGGTAGCAATTTATCGACGAAGGGAGTATGTAAGATTGTTCAGCTCGGAGAGCAGGATCGGACCAAAAACCATCTAAATATTGAAGGCAGCCCTAACCGCTGCACTAGACGGGCTACCAGATACGACATATGCTCATTCTAAGTTGAAAGGGTGAATTATTTCCGGCAGTGTATAAGAGCAAAAGCATTGAAAATAGGAAATCCATACATGCATGGAATTTCAAACGCTAGAAAAAAAATTAGGACACCAAAACGTGTTTCAAATTATGATCCTTGTTTAAACACGATCATTATTGCCCAATTCATTTACTCTCTAGAAAAAAAGGAAAGAAACTATTTCTCTCAAATTCACAGCCTTACTTACCAAATCAGCAAGCTTCTTAGCCAACATCCACTGTATAGCACAAAGGCGATTGTTTATGGGTCGAAGATGAAGGTAATGACTAAAGAGAATTCCTCGTAACAATCACCGAACAGGTGACAATAACGGAGAAATATTACTGTTTTCGGAAAACGAACTGAAACTATTAATAACCTGAGCAACTTCCTAACAGCAACGGTAAGAGTAGCTCCTTTTATCGGCTTTCCTTCCTTATCTGTCCACTCTTTCTTCAAAAATGCCAGAGCATGACGAGCTAGAGCGAAATGTATAGTAGGAAACAACAACATAATCCAAAAATCTCCATACAAGCTATTCACAGTCACTGATTTATCAGGAAATTAGACACAACATCCCACGGTTGGACGCTGAACAAGAAAACGACGCATTCCTCACAGTATTCCACTGATACACCAAATAACTCTTTCATATTGTCAAGGCATCTGTTTCCTCCTTATGTCACTGCTACTCTATATTGTTGTTGTTTCACTAGTATTGCCCATATAAATAAAGGGTTAAATGCACAACTTGAGGTACGGATTATGACTCTACCAAAAGCCCGTCAAAAGGGTTAGAACAAAAACAGAGAAAAAAGAAACAGGAAGAAAACGCTAGCACTCGAATGAAGGACTGAACAAAAACAATGAATAAGAATAAAAAAGGATAGCAGTAGTAGTACAAAACTATCCATAGGAATTCGATTCTCCACAAAAGATAAAAAATATAGCATTCGGTGATGATCAATTCCTGCGTAATGCATCATGAACTCAACTTCATCAAGCATCGTAAGATTATAAATGGATCCATAACAGGCCTATAGAATGACTTGCGCTCTAGATCACTAGAACAGAGCGTGGTGTCAAACAACGACCATGCGTGTTTTGTACAGCGCCATGGTAAGATCAATGATTAGCAGTAGAACACAGGATATGGAAGAAACCCTTTCAAAAACCTTTGATATACTGAAATAAGACGAACCCATTTTATTATTGAGTGCTTCATTCGGTGATCGGATAACAGAAACGCAATCAAGAACTGCTACAGCAACGCTTATGCATGGAACAACCTCACAGATATCAACCAGAAAGTCGAACACTGTATGTTCCGCATCACTTCCAGCATTTCTCTAGAAAAAGTATACACGTCTACTTAAATAAATACAATGGGTGCTATAAAACGCGGAAGAAATTGTATAAATAGGAAATAGGCTCTTGTAATATCCAAACCTCGTTGTCCTCATGTAGGATACAGTGCTCAATGGTCTCCATCAACTTGACACGCCGAACTTTCTTACTTCTCGAAATACCATCAGGATCACTCGGTAACGGAGATACATGACACCTTTAGGTTTTTTTAAATCATTAACAATCGAATTAAAGTCAAATGAAAGTCGGTTTGAAACATATTACCTTGTGAAACCAACTAAAACGATGCTGAGATATTCGCAAAACTTGGACTCCGGGCAAGATCGAACCACGATCTCTCTTTCCGGGAGCACGTGCATTACACACTGCGCCACGGAGGTCGTTGCTCTGCGTTTCTCTCAGCTAGGTTTTCTATCTACCAGTGCTATCAGCTATATCAACTTGTTACATGTCAACGAAACGAGTAGTATAGTGATAGTGATCCCGTTCATTACGCCTATGGCACAACCTACCTAAGCACTGACTTCACCTCACCACTGGCTCAGCAAGCCTTTCATCTCTCCGGAGTCGGAAAATTGGTGCCAGAGTTGTCAGGGATAATCTGACTTCCTGTAATCCACGTGCAAACACCTTAACTTGGCTATCTCAGGATTCCAGGGAGAATCGACTCGACCAGTATTCAACGACGTTTGTGAGGAAGAGAGAAAACTCTCAAGCTGCAACGGAACCTACATGCAAAAATGTTTGAAGACAACCGTAGATGGTGTATACCAGGACACCAGTGCAGTGCAAAAAGTACTGGGATCCGCACAATGTGTTACATGTGATGTGGATCATGTTGTAATAACAAAGTGAAATATATGTCAACTGATACTAATCCGATTACCGCAGGATAGATCGTCACCTTAAAGAGAAATAATTTTACTTGACAATCGACCAAAGACCATCTTGTTTAAAAAAGCACAGCTCAGTGCTGTACTACATTGCGTGGTTCTCACTGTACGATTTAACTCCAAACACCTACGAAGACCTACGTTGCAAGAAGAAACAATTGCTGGAACATAAAAAATCATAATCATTGCGACTCTGAAGAAGGCGAAGATGTCAAAACGTTAAAATGATGTAAAAACATACGCGTCTGTCAAAATGTTAGCCACAATTAAGATTGGTAACAGCATCATGTAAACTTATCAGCCAACGAAGACATCAACTCTTACAGACCACACAGTCCACTAAAAATATGAGCCTCGTAATCAGTCGTCCTTTGGCTCCAGTTCAACTTTTACCTATTTCGTCAACAATTTCCAACTCTTATATTCAATATACCCTCCACATTTTAAAAATCTGCATGGTTTCGATAATTTCGAATTTCAGCCCCTGTTGAAGAAAGTGTCCAAAATCGTTCACCATCCAACCGCAAATCCGTCAACCTTTGGCCATTGGCCTCATTACTCATGTTGAATATACTTCCGCACTTTTAAAAAACTTTTTACACCCTCCTGAGTCGACATTCGTATTTCTTAGAAAGATCCTCTCCAGTCACAACTTCTTCATACCTTTAATATAGGTAATATCCCGTTATAAACAGTCCCGCGGCAAGGTAAAGAAACGTGCATTCAAAAAAAGGAAAAAATTTTTGGTAAAGTAATCTCTCAGCAATATACAACATTTATGTTGGGGAGGCCATCAATTGAACCAAAAAGTGTACCAAGTGAACTCTTGAGATAAAGCTGTAAATAATTGACGAACAGATATTGCAACCTTGGAAGTATATGAAAGCAGTGAACTAACCAAGAAAACAAACGCTCCAGTGTAAGCAAAGAAAGTCGGAATAGGTCAGCAAGTTGCGCCACAACCTAAAATATTTGATGTGTAACCTTACTGTACGGATTCTTTTAACCGCCAGAAAAAAACATCCAAACATAAGCAGAACTTGAATGAATTACATCAGATTCGGTGTCAATCACAGCAGAAGAATTTAGTTGATCACGGAAGTAGGATACCGTCTTCGAAAATGTACTCCAAAGAATCGGGAGTAACTATATAGAAAACAAAATTGTAGCCAAAGTGATTGGAAATCTACTTTGAATATTTGAAAGATCTAAACGTTTTACGAAATTACGAACCTTCTCAATTTCACTCAAAATTATATTCACATCACCATGAATGCGTACACTAGATGTCTTATTCTGAAAAACTTTTAGTACTTATCAGAACGACTTCGTCAAAATTTTAAGCAGACTAGACCAAGCAATATTATGTGTTGCATTAGATAACCACTCTTACATGATCAGGACGAGAACTCAGCTTATGTAGGAACATCACATAGGCATGCAACGCGTTTTTATTCATGTCTCTAGCAAAATACAACAAACAAGAAAAGAAGTGTAGATTTTCCAATGGAAAGTAGATTTTACTTATTAGCATAAGGTTCAGAACAAAAAGATTGCACGACAAACCGCACCTTAGCCCAGGGCAGTGACTTCACGCCCACTCTTGGACAGGCGACCGCGAGAATATCGATCAGGTGTTCGATTAAGTATATTGTAGCACGACGTCTTCCTTGCATCAACTAAATACAATCGTTTGTGAGATCAACATATTCAAGAGTGTCCTAGTTTCCGTTGGCACCCAAATGGACTAAACTCCTTTGATTGCGCGCGGCAGTTATTCATAAGGTCCGTTCTACCCTTCAAAAAAGAAAATGAAGTAGAAATGAGACATCAAAGGCACCTCCTTATTTGCGATAAACTCTGTGTAATGTAGTCGGTATAGAAGAAAAGGAATCACCGCGAAACTTAACATATACACCACCACCATTGATTTCGCATAGGCCAGAAAAAAACCGTGATTTCATTCGAGATTTAAACACACCAAATGATGGTTTTTTTTAGAGTAAACGATTGATTTCCGAAAACTTAGTTAAAAGATAAACACAGAAAAGCACACTATAACAGGCATGGTAGCGGCTACTGTTTCGTGCTTCGGCTATACATCAACTTGCGGGAGCATTTTAATATACCAGTTTATTGTTTTCTTCTAAACATGTCTGGCACTAATCTGCTGATAAGAAGAGATGGAGGGTACTGTTAGCTCTAGTAGCGTGACTGAACCAAATGTCATCTGCCTATTTCAGAACACCACAAATTACTCAGGGACACGCGCTCCAAATGTATTGCTTAAAAAACCTCACTATGGACAATCCTAATAGATTTAATCGCATGAGTTAGTTTACACCTCAGTAGCACTATAGAATTGTGTTACCTTCAATAGTTTCACCACTGCAGAAAGCTTCAACGTCGTCAAAGTCGATGTCAGCTTCGATATAGGAATAATTTTTCCCGAAAGACTGGAATCAATAACGATCAATGGAACAGTCCGGAGGATTTTCTATCAATTAACGATTATTCACGCACCCTTCGTTTGGTTTAGGAACTTGGGTGGAAAGAGCTACTGGAGCGATGTCCTAAATTAAAATTGAAATCTGATGAATATTCACTAGTCTCAGTAGTTTGTCAGTTTGATATTAGTCGATAAGCACCTGATTTTTTACCCGTGACTATGCTTTCATGGTATGAGAAATTCATCGGTAAAAAAGGTTTCTGAATAAGTGAACGGAAATCCACATATGGAAAAAACTTGCAAACATGGTAAGCATTCTATAAGGAGAATTGGTAACAATTGAAAATCACCTGAACCTCCGCAACACTCTCATCTTCAATACCCTCATCGCGTTTCCTCTTCCGAGTTTTCCGTGGTCGTTTCTTCTTCAATTCTGCATCTACTACCGTAATTTCTGACAATGCCGTTCGATCTGGCAGCGACCATTGTTCAAGCGCTAAAAATCCAACAACTTGATCTACCACTTCCACAAATTTATTTTCTTGAAGTTATGAGATAGCAATACTTTATTCCCAACACTCAAATGATGATCGCAAACTTCTGGTTCTAGTTCGCTAACACACTGGTCATGGGCGATCTACTGCGATCAAGTGAGAAAATCATTGTCAGTATTTCGCAGATCGAAGAGAATGCTATGTAACTTAGCATGGCATCAAAAGTTTTAAAATATATTAAGATTCACTTACATCGAGAGGTAGAACTGAATGTCCATAGGCCTTAATGTATGATCTTAGAACATACAGGCATTTTCCTCCACAACTTAACCTCTTTGTTTCGTACACTTTTAGTCCTTAATTCCCACTTATTTTCATGTATTTTCAAAGAGCACGATGCAAGATGTTGCCAGAAGTGATGAAGAAGCAAAGGGAGGATTTATAGAAGGAAATGTTGGAAAGCTTTGCTCAGATTCACCACAACGGATGTGACCGTCTGTCGTCTGACGGCAAAGAAGCCTTACCATAGAACCCGTTACCAACTCCCAGAACGATAGAATTATTGGTAAAATTTCTGATAACACCAATTTCCAAGCAAAGATATAAGAACACACCATTCGAGGTAATCTACAGTCTAACCACGCCGTTAGAGCGACAGAACTAGTCGGAATGGCGACATAACCACTAAGAATTTCAAGGCATGTGTGGGAGTATATTCCCTATCGTTTTAAATAAATGGCTATAGTACTTCACTTATTAGAGCTGTGGACTATTCTACGATATTTCCGCCTTTTATGTACGATCCGGCTCTCTCCTTACGCTACGTGACGATGACTATAGAGACTGCTGATGGCAAAAAAGATCGATAGAACTAGCTGAGATACACGCAAAACGAAGGACCCGGATGATGTAGTGGTGAAGTGAGCTGCTCCCCGGTAAGGACAACAGCGCGTGTTCGTTCTCCATTGCATACACCTGTGGTCCAGAGTTTTGCAAATATCTCAGCATTTCAAACAAACTATAGAGATTGTTCATTACCTCACACAGAACACTCTCTATTTCATCACTAAACTCGTATATACAATAACTCTACGAATCTCCCTCATACAGAGATCTCGAAGTGGGTTTTTGTTTAAGCGTAGTTTAAAAAAATTTTAATATTACGTCTTCATCACGAAAGGCTCTCCTGCAAGTTAGTCGTGGCGAGACCCTTGGCACTAGGTAGGAGGTTAATAGCGTACCAAAAGCGACCTTATTCCTCTCCGTGACGAAGGTAGATCCAGGTGATGAATCTGTGCTTCTGCTCCGCCAATTTGGCGCATACCTTTCGGTTAACGAGGATGGATTCATGCATGAGTGCGCTGGTGCGTTTTCGTTTATATGGATTATATTCTACGAGTGAATTCTGCCAAAACCCTGCAATCAAGTGACTGCGAAATGTATGTGAGCATGCTAGGAATCGCCTCCAACAAATATGCTCTCCGTCTACTACGGGAAAGACTGGAAAGCTACTCGTCAGTACCAAATCGCCCAAGTTCAGAGCAGACCAAGCTATACGTAGGGGTTAAATGCTAAACAGAGTAAAATAAGTGGCTCTCATATCCCTAACCATGCAAGGGAACTTGATACAGCAGCACTAAGTTGGACGAGTACGGACAGGCTGCTAAAATCTAGGGCCATTCTAGGCTGTCGAAATAGCAAACGACTAAAGTGAGGATCTGTACCTGCAATGCGCGCTTACTTGCATCTGAATACTCGATTAAGAAACTGATCATGCCGGCAAGAAAAATAAGATGACGTCGTAGGACTCGTTGAGACGAAAAGACGACACCCATTCAACACCACCTATGTCATCCGAAAAGTGCTGTTCCTCGAATCGTGTGACAACAGTGGAGTAGGTGATGTCGGCGTTCTCGTAAACACGAGTTTGGCTATAATCACAGATTCATCTGAACAACTAACAACCCAAATCATACGTTTGCGATTGAAGAGATGTGGATTATCACCGGCTTTGACAGTTTTCGTCGTCTACGCACTGACATCAAGGTATGAAGAAGACGGAGTCGAATTGTTATATTTGGACTGGAAAAGTTCCAATAAGAAGTATAATAAGTTCCAATCGGTCTAACGCCTTCACCATCATACCATGCGGGTCATTCATTACGCCTGTCTCTTAGCTAGTTCTATCGATCGGTGCCGTCAGCAATCACCCGTCAGCGGAATTGATCCGGAGAGCCTAGATCGGCAATGAATCTAGTTAAGCTGAGTATGTAGTCGGAATCACAATATTAATTTTTTTTATCAATCCCACTGACGAGTGATTGCTGATGGCGCTGATCGATAGGACTAGCTGAGAGACAGACGAAATGAATGGCTCGAATGGTGTGGTGGTGAACGCATTATCCCCGGAAACGGTAATATCGTGTTCGTTCCCGACGGTAGACACCTGCAGTTCGGATCTGCAGGTATCTCAGCACCATTGCGGTTGTGTCGCACATAGTACCCTCTCGTGAAAGATTGAAGTAGGCAGTAAATAAAAAAATTTAATATTTTTCATTTTAGTTCTGTGAACTCAATATTTCCTCCATAATATCCATAGCCCAGCAGTGCTTATGGTCTACAAAGCAGACCTCTCAACAATTTGGAGCTAAACTCTTCAAAGCACTATTTCTATCGTTGCCAAGACGAAGAGAAGTGAGTTTTTGTTCAAGGGTAGTTTAAAAAATTCTAATATTATGTCTTCATCACAGAGGGATCTTCTGCCTTTTAGTATCGAGGCAACGTGGCGAAACCCTGCCTGCTGGGCAGAGAGTTAATCGTGTACCGAAAGCGAGATTATTCTTCGTGACGAAGATAGTTCCAACCAATGAATTTGTGTTTCTGCTTCGCCAATTTGGGGCATACCTTTCGGGTAACGAGGACGTATTCATGCATGAATGAGCTGGCGCGTTTTCGTTTATATGGATTATATTCTACGAGTGAATTCTGCCAAAAGCCTGCAATCCAACAAGTACGCTCCACATTTACTCTGGGAGAACTAGACAAGGTACTCTTGAGTACCCCATC